AATTGACAAATAACAATACTTTTACCATTCTGAGTCTAATCCCTCTTTTATGCAAAGTTTTAAATATTTGAATACCACTCTGAAATTTGTCTTCAAGTACATTATCTCCTTTAAATCTCCACAGTGCTGAGAACTGAAATAAACATTACTGCCACTTTATAGAGAATATAGAGCTGTGCAGTCCAATATAGTAGCTACTAGCCACATGGGGCTTTTAAACACTTGATATATGTATAGTTCAAGCTGAGACGTGTACACTTTATAAAGTGCAAAATCCACACTAGATTTCAGAGTTAGTATAGACTATAAAATATCTCAATAATTTTTCATATTGGTTGTACATAAAATATTGTGGATATGCTAGGTAAAAAATTAATTTCACCTGCTTTACACTTTCCATAATGTGGTTACAACATTTAAATTTAAATTTGTGGCTCACGTTATATTTCTATTGGACAGCACTGAATTAGCTCTCTTTGGCAGTTTAATCATTGTACTGATTCATGGTGAACATCCAGGTGATTAAAAACTGGAAGTCACAATTCTCCCTTTTAGCTCTAGTAATCTATCACATTAAGACTTATATTCATCTTTATTAAATTTTAGCTTGTTCAACTTGACCCATTAATTACATATATTATATAGTATTTGGATTGTGAGCAGAGTCTAACATACGGTATGTGCACATACAGCATATTAAATGAACTCTGCCACCCAAAACATTAGATATCCTTCTCAGCTTCGTGCTCTTGCCTGAGTCAAGTGTTCTCATCCAAGTCCCAGTAGAGGCCTTAATTCATTACTGATGACCCTTTGAATAGACTTAGAACTTTTCACGCTCCCTCTCCCGTCTACAAATAGGACTTTTATAGAAGTTTTCTTATTACACTGTTTACATTTAAACATCTCCTTGAGGGCAGGGTCCTTGCTTTTATAAACATGTATTACCAGTGCCCACACCAGATCTGAACTTCGTAAATATTTGACAGATATATGACATCAATCAATACATCGTTCAGCTTAAATTTCCATCTTTCAAAAGAACACGATCAGATTCTGAAAAATGCTTTGTTGAAATTCAAATTCGAGATATTGATAGTGGTTTTTTTTCACCAGTGTTAGAATAAGATTGCCTTTCTGATAGGAATGAGGAAATCTTCCAGTTGGATTTACCTTAGTTTTCTCTCAAGACAAGAGGGAGGCATGAAATTAGGTAGTATGGAACTTGAAGCTTCTAACACGAGAGACTAAGAACAATGTCTAATACTGTTTAACTAGATAAGAAAAGTAACTTCAAAGGGAAGCAATATACTTTCAAAGTTTAGCAAAAGTTTACCAACATTTGCAGAAGCTTTGTTATTAGTGAAATATCTTCACTGTCATTCACTGTAGTTTCACACACTCACCTGAAATGTACACGTGCCAATGACCACGTAATTATTGCCACCATATGCAAGTAGGTTTCCGGAATCCCCGGTGTCAAAGGGATTAAATTCTACCACATGCACATAATCTTCACAATCCACGGTGTAGGCAGCATTCCTTGTGGCATCTTGCTTCATCTTGTATGTCAAAGCTTGAGCAGTTGTAACAATAAAGTAGCCTTCTACTGGACAAGGTCATGAAACTGTGAACTATAGCACAAACACAGTTAGATAGAAACGGTCGAAAATATTATTCACTTTCAGCAAATGAGCAAAATAAGAATGGAGTATTGCAAATGCCACAGACAGCAAAAAGAAATTTAAAGTACTTAGATACTTTGTGAATGATACCGAGCAGCATGAATCACTATAATTTTGTTTACATTATCTAAAAGATATAACATTTGAAGAGGAAATCACTTTAGTAAACATATTTATGACAAATTAAAGATAGTTAACATTTACAGAGCATCTTTTTGCAGGTGCCATGTTAACCATTTTACTGACAATATAGCATCAACTATTCCTATAAACCTTAGCAGCGGTTCTCAACCTGTGGGTCGCGACCCCTTTGGCGGAGGAACGACCCTTTCACAGGGGGCGCCTAAGATCATCCTGCATATCAGATATTTACATTACGATTCATAACAGTAGCAACATTACAGTTATGAAGTAGCAACGAAAATAATTTTATGGTTGGGTCACAACATGAGGAACTGTATTTAAAGGGCCAGAAGGTTGAGAACCACTGCCTTAGAGGGAGGTACTGCCCATGGTTCCCATTTTACTGATGAGGAAATCAAGGCTTCGGGACTTAAATGAGCTTTCCAAGGCCATAAGATGAGTCAGAGTTTGAAAACATTACCACGTGTTGGACGCCAGTGCTAGAGAAGAAAAACACAGCTCTGGGCTTCGCAGGAGCTCACAATCCGGGACAGGTATGGTTCAGCGTGAAAAGTGCTGCACTTACAAACAGATACAAAATATGGGATATGGAAGGAGTGACAAAATGTATTATAAAAAATAATATTCACATAACCTGCACAAAAACGTCAATTAAGCTGTCGTGGCCTGGTATGCACTCTGGATGTAGCATTCCCGAAAGAGACATGGATTCTATAGGTTTTTTATTTTATTTATTTATTTATTTTTTATTGGACGCAGAAGTTATCCTGAAAACAGTTGGGCTCGATTACAAACATATGAAGTACCCGATGAGGACTTATTGGGAATCAGATGAGTCCCACCTCAGAGAGCCAATGCACTAGTGACCTTACAAGCGGGCATCTGGGATTGGGCATTTAGCTTAAGGCGACCAGCCCTCTGAAAGGCCCCCGGAGGCACAGAGGTGCGGGAAGGCAGGAGAGTCGCGGACAGGACACTCGGTCTAAAGTAGTGTCCGGTCTCGCTACATTATCGGGGTCTCACAGTGCACGGCGGGCGGGACACGTGCCTGAAAAACTGGAAGAGCACCGGGGAGGGAGTAAGAGGCGGTCCTACTTAGAGCCCAGATGCCTCCCCGTGTCCCAGGCAGATCGCGCGAGACCCCGCTACCGCCTCCCCCAGCCCGAGGTCGGAGGGAAGAGGGGTGGAGAGCCGCCTGGGGACGGCGGGGCGGTGGGTAGCAAAGCAGCGCGGCCGCCTGGGCTCCGTGATACGCACCGGAGGGAACCGGGAATCGCCAGAGAAGAGTGGGTATGCGCGGAGGGCACTTAGGGGCTCGCGTCGATTCTGCTTCCGGGTCAGAGGGCGGCAGCGGCGATTGGCTCTCAGGCCCTCCCGCGAGATTTAAAATGTAACCCGCGACGATTCAAACAGCGGAGAGGCTGTGCGGCTGGGAAGGTCCCTGCTTCAGCTGGTCCTGCACCTCCCGAGTCTCCCCCGAGCCAGGTGAGTCTGACCTCTTCTCCATCCGCATGTCGCATGGTAAGTGGTGATTCAAGCCGCGGGTTTTTCGGTGACAGAAAAGCGCCGAGTGATCGTTTAAGTTATTTGCGCGGTGGCTTCGTTCTGCAGCCAGGTTGGGTCTGGGTGTATTGAACGGAGTTGACAGTATCTACGGGTGGGTGGGGCTGGAAGTCCGAGGCCCATTGAGGGCTACTTAGGTTCATTAGGCGACAAACCGGGGTTCTAGTCCCCAAACCTACGCAGACTCCAGTTCTGCTGCATTCGCCCTCTCCCTGTTACATCCTCCCGAGGAACTTTTTGGACCTGCATTCTGACAGTGATTGCAGCAACGACTGCCATTTTTTTTATTTTTATTTTTTTTATTGAGCACCTACTAAGTGCCGGGCACTAGGTGGATTATTTACTTGTCTAACGTCTCATAATCTTATGGGATAGGAGATACCCTCTCCGCTTTACAGATGAAGAAATATATGCTCATCAGATATTTTAAATACCGAAGGGCATACAGCTAATAAATGGGAGAGCCTGCATGTGGACCCTGATCTCTCTGACGCAAAAGTGGAGTTCTTTTAATCATCTCACACTGCCTCCCCAGTGACAGTTTCCTGTCTCACAATGTTTAGTTGCTTCAGTGCGCCTTGGAATCCAGTTTTTTTTTTAAACAAGTGTTTATGATCTCTGCCACCTTCTACTACTGGTTTTGTGTAATGCAGACTGACATTCAGAGGGCTTGCATATTCGTTGTCTCACTGACTTCTCATAACTGGCTGGAAAATATTATTCCTGTTTTCTTTTTGATGAAACCTCTACCTAGGCAGTCAGGTTAAAAGCTGCTTAGGCTCACACAGCCAGCTAGCTACTGGGAGAGTTGAGACTAGATCAGGGTTGGCAAACCCATGGCACTGCCTGTTTTAGTGCATCCAGTTCCCAAGCTAAGAATGGATTTTACATGTTTAAATGGTTGGGGG